CGACATTTGAACCGTATATATATCATCATTTGCCACAAGGCTGTGTGTATGAAAATACCAATACTAATTTCACCATCATATCATCAATTTAATTAAACATACTGTCATGTGTAAAATAGATAAATATACTGACTACTGTATAAAGATTACATGTCTTCTCTAGTTTTTAAAAATTTGCGCTCTCGTCTTTGCACTTTTATTAATGGTTATATATTTCTCATTTTCTTTACAGGACCCGCAGTTTTCTGGTTATATCGCAAGCATCAATATATTATCCAATGTGATGAATGAAAACTATTTTAATTAAATAACATATTTTCGATGTTTATAAATAATTTCAAAACACTAAATATATTAAAACCCAAAAACAAACTCTCAAATGTAGTTTTATTTTTTTCAAATGAGGTCACAATTTATTTGCGCCTTAAAGTATGCTTTACAACTCATTTATTTTGTAATGAAACTGAAACACAGGGTGACACTTTTAGTGACATACGAATAGCGCCATCTATTGATTCACATGATTGGAAATCGCAAAGCAAAAAAATCGCAATCCCGGATTTTGCCAAAAATGTCATGTCGTTAAAAATAAATAAATCGATTTTTTGGTAGGATTTATTGATTTTTGTGAAAAACAAAATTGACAGTCATAATCAGAAGATTGTGGGGAATGTGTAGAAAAAAACAAAAGTGGAATTTTTTAAATAATTGTCATAATAAAAGACGTCAAATCGTAGACATCATTTGCTATTTGTTATTTGATGAAAATATATATGCTGGCTATATATAAATCTGAACTGATTGTAACAAACCTTAATACGCTTCATTTGGTACGTTAATTAGATTAAATTGGATGAAAATATATGTGATATATAAAGTAAAAGTCTCCTTAGCCGATTTAAAGCCAACTTTATACACTACATTGTATAGTCAATTAACTAGGTTGTGGAAAATTTCATCGTTATGGAACAAACATTGGGAATTTGGTAGACTATTTACATAAATCGGCCCGTTGTTTTGGGAATTGAAATAAGGTAACAACTTACTTGCGCCTTAAAGTATGCATTAGATTACAATTATTTTTGAACAAAACATTAATACAGGGTGACTCTTTTAATGACATGCGAATAGCGCCATCTATTGAATCCCATGATTGGAAATTGCAAAGCAAAAAATCGCAATTCCGGATTTTGCCAAAAATGTCATGTCGTTAAAATAAATAAATCGGCTTTTTGGTAGGATTTTTTGGTTTTTCTGAAAAACAAAATTAACAGTTATAATCAGAAGAGTTTGGAGAATGTGTAGAAAAGAACAAAAGTGGAATTTTTTAAATAATTTTCATAATAAAAGACGTCAAATCGTAGCTATCATTTGCTATTTGTTATTTGATGAAAATATATATGATGGCTATATATAAATCTGTACCGATTGCCATAAAGCTTAATACGCTTAATTTGCTACGTTAGTTAGATTAAATTGGATGAAAATATATGTGATATATAAAATAAAAGTCTACTTAGCCGATTTAAAGTCAACTTAATACACTTCATTGTATAGCCAATTAACTAGGTTGTGGAAAATATCATCGTTATAGAAGAAACACGGGTATTTGGTAGACTATTTACATAAAATCGGACGTTTGTTGTGGGAATTGAAATTAAGGTAACAACTTACTTGCGCCTTAAAGTATGCTTTAGATTACAATTACTTTTGAATGAAACCTTAATACAGGGTGATACTTTTAATGACATGCGAATAGCGCCATCTATTGATTCACATGATTGGAAATCGCAAAGCAAAAAATCACAATTCCGGATTTTGCCAAAAACGCCATGTCGTTAAAAATAAAAAATTGATTTTTTGGTAGGATTAATTGATTTTTCTGAAAAACAAAATTGACAGATATAATCAGAAGAGTTTGGAGAATGTGCGGAAACAAATAAAAGTGGAATTTTTCGAATAAATTTAATAATAAAAGACGAAAAATCGTAGACATCATTTGCTATTTGTTATATGATGAAAATATATATGGTGGCTATATATAAATCTGTACCGATTGTAAGAAAACTTAATACGCATTATTTCAGGCTTAATTTGGTACGCTACTTAGATTAATTTGGGGGAGTTAAATCATAATCTTAACCGATTTAAAGCAAACTTAATACACTTTATTGTATAGTCAATTTAAAAAAAATTCATCGTTGTCGAACAAACATCGAGTATTTGGTGCACCATTTACATAATATCGGACGAAATTATGTATGGGAGCTATACCTAAATCTGAATCGATTTCAACGAAACTTAACACATGTCAATTTAGATTCATTACAATGCGTTATGCTAAATGTTATCTCATTCGGACAGAACTTGGGAGTTTGGTGCACCATTTACATAAAATCGGATGAACTTGCTAATGGGAGCTATATCTAAATCTGAAACGATTTCAAGGAAACTTAACACATGTCATTTTAGACTCCTTACAGTGCGTTATGCTAAATTTCATCTCATTCGGACGAAACTTGGGAGTTTGGTGTACAATTTATATCAAATCGGACGAAAACTTATATGAGAGCTATATCCAAATCTAAACCGATTTCAATGAATTTTAACACACGTCATTCTAGACACAGTTTAATACGCTACTCTTAATTTTTTCTCAGTCGGACAAACATTGCGGATTCGGTGCACCATATAAATAAAATCTGACAAATATCTATAATGTAGCTATATCCAAATCTAAACCGATTTCAACGAAATTTAATATATGACATTCTATACCCAATACAAAACGCTTCGCAAAATTTCGCCACATTTGGAGAAACTTTGGGTAGTCGGTGTATTAATTAGATGAAATCGGCCGAATATATATAAGGTAGCTATATCTAAATCTTAACCGATTTCAATAAAACTTAACATATGACGTTCTATACCCAATATAACACGCTTCGCAAAATTGTCGTCTCAGTCGGACAAACTTTGGGTAGTCGGTGTATTAATTTGATGAAATCGGCCGAAAATATATGTAAGAGCTATATTTAAATCAGAACCGATTTTCACGAAAAGTGACACATGCCACTCTAGACTCAATTTAATACGTTATGCCAAGTTTCGTCTCATTCGAACAAACCTTGGGAATTAGGTGCACACTTTAAACAGTATCGGATGAAAATATATATGGCAGCTATATCTAAATCTGAACAGATTTTCACGAATTTCAGTACAATTCGTCCTTGAGCAAAAAAAAAAAAAAAAATGAGCTATGCCAAAATTTCATCTCATTGGGATCATAAATGCGATCTGTACGTTTTTTACAATAATACATACACAGACTGACAAATAGAGGGACGGACATGGTTAAATCGACTCAGACAGTAATGTTATGTATATTCTCAAACCTAACTATGGGTTTATTTCGTTTTGAATGCTAGAAACATATGCAAAAAATCATAAATGAAACCTACAATAAACATTGATTTTCTTGGTAAATTTAAAATAAAAATTTTCGGAAATTTTTTGAAACGATCGTTTCAGATGTTCTTTACACGATGCCATTCAAATCGGAAGGAAATCGGCCCATAATTGTATGGAAAAATCGATTTTTCTTATTTAACGACATGTCAATTTTGGACTTTTCAGTTTTTGTCATTTTTTGTTAAGCGATTCACAGTCATGCGTATCAATAGATGGCGCTATTCACGTGTCTTTACCAGGGTTGAATTTTAAAGCATATGTTTAGGCGCTGCAAAATAGAAGAGATGGCTAGGTGGAAATTATTTCCGCCTATTAATAAGAGAGAAAGAGAGACAATTAACAAATTAAACCATTTAAAGGTGGGCCTATATAACCCATATTCGAATTAACCGGCAAACAAAAGGCAATTGTGTAGAAAATTCCAAAATATTGTGATATCCAGGACTTTTTGATGTGATTTAAGATCTTTTTAAAATTATAGATTTTTTGTTTAAACTAATTTTCCGTTGAATTAAAACTTAATATAAATAAAAACAATTTCTTCATTTTTTGAGATTATCTCATCCAATTATAATGTTTTTTTATTCGAGTTTTATATAAAGAGAGATACATCAGTAATTAAAATCTACAAATAAATGTGTGTATGTGATAGAAATAACATAATAAGACCCCTCAAGGGTTTTTGTTGTAATAAAAAAAAGTTAAATAAATTAAAAATTATTTGTTTCCCTTTTTTATAAAATTTCTACTATCTGTCTGTTTGTGTGTGTGTGTAATTGTGTGGGTGGTTTGTGTTCTTACATCATTGACAAATAGAGGGAGGGGAACTTATAAGAAAAATTAAAACAAAAACCAATTTCTTCTTCTTCTTTTTTACATATACATAAAGACAATTTCCAAAGAAAATAGTAGGGATAACATTATGAACTACATAAAAACAAATAGGAAAAAGGTAAAGTAAAACAATGATAAAAAATACAAAAAAAAGAGATTTTTAGTAAAAAATAAAAACATAGTATTGTAAAAATAATTAAAAATGTAATAATAAAAAAATACGATTTCGAAACAATTAGATTCATGTTTGAGATTATAAAAAATATATCATTTCGACAAAAAATATTTAAATTGAATTGTCTATTAATTTGATGTTGTTTGTTATTTTACCGATTATTAGCTAATTTTTTTTTCAATTAATTAATAAAAAAAAGAAACAAAAAATCAAATTATTAATTATTCTATGTTATTATGTTGTTTTTGTTTTTAAGCTTAGAGCTGTTACAATTAATTTTTATATTCAATTTCCGTATTAATATATATAGTTTTTTTTTTTAATTTTTTCTGTTTTTTTTTTCATTTATATAATAAGGTACAATTTTCTTTTTACAAAATTTACATTTCATCAATTTTATTTTCAGTTATGATTTTCCATTTTTATTTGTATGTTTGCTTTCTTTTCACAGGTTTCTTGCTTTTTTCTTTCATTCTAATGGGATTTATAACGCCGTACTTTTTAAATTTATTCACCATTTCTATGTCCTTTGCGTTTTATCTTCGGAACTGGTTGGCATGTGTCGTGCGGCTGCACCTGCTGGTGTCTTCTTAAGGGGCACTCTCACAAATGTATGCAGTTCTTGTTCTTCAGACCCCTGAGGCGATAATTTTGTTTGTCGCTGTTTTCGTTGTTTTTTATCTATATTAATTTTTGTATTTCTATCAAATAATTCTAAATCGTCTACATCATCGCCATCATCATCTTCAGCAAGAATTGGCGTTTGAGTTTGACATTGCTGCATATCTCTTTCATAAATTTCTTCCTCATCTTCTTCTTCGTCATAGTATTCAACAGTCGCTTCCTCTTCTTCATCATCTTCTATATCCTCATCATCGATATTGGCTTCTGCGTCTACTTTCAGCAGAGTACTGGAGGAAGTAATGCGATTTCTTCGTCGATTATTGGTGGGTACTTTATTGTAGCGTATAGCTTTACGTGCTGCCTGATTGCTGGAACGCTGAAATCGAAATAGAAAGAAAAATGTTTAATTTCATATATTATTTTCAAAGTTAAAAAAATTAAGAAAGGGGTTGTGATCGGCGGAACCGAATTTATAAACCCTTCACTAAATTACAACCATTCAGGATGTAAAATTCGGTTAGAACCTACAACGTACTTAAAATGGGATGAAGTCGTTATAAGAGGTATTTTATCCAAAGAGAACTTTCCAAAAAATATAGCGAAAAATGCGCCTAGGACTGCAGAAAGGACGCTAAATTTGACCAGGCCGAATTCACACTCACAGTAATTAAAATCAATGCCATGTTAAATTGCTAGCAGGAGAAAACAAAATATCTAATTAGATATTTTGGGTTATATTGGGTTAGAACTTTATGGCCAATTCGGTAGACAAATTTACGCGAAATACCGAGGAATGCGGGTACTAATACTGATATTTTTGTTGAAGCGATTTTCTACCTAATAAAAACCTAAAATGCGAATTGGTTAAAAAAAATACGAAACTCCACAAGATATCAATATTTTTAGATAGGTGAAATGCGGAACGAGGGTTTTTTCCAGTGTATATATAAAGCTATGGACATACAGAGAACTCTCGATAATGTCAACATTAATTAATGTCCGATAAGTTCACATTTTCGAATTTGTTCACATTTTCAATTCGACCAGCTTATATGCCTTTGTGTTGTGCATATGTTTGTAATAGGCAAAAGGAAACGAGATAGAGACGTGGTTCCTTTTGAGAATAAGCATAGAATCACTTTCTGTGTTGATTTTCGCATGTCCGTTTGTTCATCCGTCTGTCCGTTCGTCCATGTATTTTTTTGAACAAAGTAAAGGTCGCATTTATGATCCGATTTGGATGAAATTTGGCATAGATCACTTATTTGGCCCAAGGACGAACCCTATTGAAATTGGGAAAAATCGGTTCAGATTTAGATATAGCTCCCATATATATTTTCGTCTGATTTAATGTAATTGGTGCACCAAAGTCCCTATATATATATTTCGATTTACACGAAGTTTTGCACAGCGTAATGAATTAGGTATAGAATGATGTGTGTCAAGTTTCCTAAAAATCGGTTCAGATTTAGATACAACTCCCATATATATTTTCGTCTGATTTAATGTAAATGATGCACCAAAGTCCCAATATCAACTTCGATGTGAAGGAAATTTGGCACAGCGTAAAGAATTAGGTCTAGAATGATGTGTGTTAAGTTTCCTGAAATCGGTTCAGATTAGATATAGCTTCTATATCTGACCAAATGAAAAATTTAGTATCGGTTGCAGAATTAAATGTTTATGGATCCAATTTCATTTTAAAAATGCAACGTCTGTTAGGATTCATATGTTGAATCTACCCAAAGTGGTGAAGGGTATCATATAGTCGGCCCCGTCCGACTTTACAACTTTCCTTACTGGTTTTCTTCCTTTTTTAGCTTCTCTACAAATTTTATTTAAAGTCACGCCTCTAAAAATGTTCTCCTCTTATAGCACCTCTATGAATTGTATTTAAAGATCCACGCCTCTAAAAATATTCTCCTCTTATAGCACCTCTAAAAATTATTCTCCTCTTATGGCACCGCTAAAAAAATCCACGCCTCCAAAATTATTCTCCTCTTATAACACCTCTAAAAATCCACCCCTCTAAAATTATTCTCCTCTTATAGCACCTCTAAAAATCCAAACCTCTTATAGCACCTCTAAAAATCCACGCATCTAAAATTATTATCCTCTTATAGCACCTCTAAAAATTGTATTTAAAAAATGTTTCTCCTCTTACAGCACCTTTAAACATTGTATTTAAGGGTCCTCTGAAAATATTCTTCAAAAAATTAACGCTTCTCAAAGGTCCTCTAAAAATAATCTTTAAAAACTCCACGTTTCTTAAAGGTCCTCTAAAATATTCTTTAGCCAAACCCAAGCTTCTTGATGGTCATCTAAAAACATAATTAGAAAATTCACGCTTTTTAATGGTCCTATAAATATAATCCTTAAAAAATTAACACTTCTTAGTTCCTCTAAAAACATTCTCTAAAAAATCTGCGATTTTTAAATGTCCTTTAAAAATATTCTTAAAAAAACACGCTTCTTAAAGGTCCTATAAAAATATTTTTTAAAAATTCCACGTTTCTTAAAGGTCCCTAAAAGATTCTAACTAAAAACTCTTTTTTTAAATCCACGTTTCTTATAAACTTTCTAAAAATCTACACTACATCGAAAATAATATACATAAAATCGGGTGGGCCTGTATTGAAAAAATTAACGCCGGATGTAGTTTCTGAAAACCTATGCCATAGTCCTTTCATTTTGATTGGAAATTGGGACTAGGACCTTCAAAAGATTTCATAAATAGCCCATTCAATTTAAGACAAGAGGTCTTCTAACCTCTGATAATTCGAAATGACACATTAAATCATCACAGCATGACATATTTTATGATTTGAGAACCCAAATTGTCAAATTAAAGCCACTTCGACTTGAAAAGTGTTTAGGACCTTCAAAATATGCAAAATTGAACAGGGTTTTTTATGGGGAATATGTTTATATTGAAAAATGTATACGATAACATTTTTACCCTGTAAGAATCATACTATGATACCTTCTGAGAACCCGAAATGCCAACAGACATCTAAAATTCGAAAAGTGGTATGGCAGGCTCTATTTCAAAAACGCGGGTAGATATATCCGATATTCTATACCAAACATTCTAGGAGTATTAGCAATAGAAGTGGAACATTTCAACAGTCTACAGTACATATTGAGAGCTCAATCCTGTTTCAACAGACAAACATAATCAAAAATTTAATCTATACTTATTACGAAGTGGATAAAAATAATTTCAAGTTTCTATAGCGTAGCTGTCATATTTGCAATTGAATATTTAACAATTTAATAAAAGCGGCAATTCAATTTGAGATTGTTCTACCCTCATCTACTTTTATTCACCATACAATACAACGGAAATACATTCCCAAAAAAAGTATGGAAACATCAACGCGGCGACAACCATAAACTATTAAAATTTTCTAAATTGTATTAGCGTTTCTTTCTTTGTTCATTTCAAATACAATGTGGCATGTAAGACAACCATAAAAAATAGAATAACCCAAGAGGGAGAGAGGGATAAACGCGAAAAGAATACATCAGCCAAAATGTCTGTTTCACGAAACGAGTACAAAAAAAAAAAAAAAAAAAAAACAACGAAAGGATTGAAAATCTCTCTTTCCACACACAACACACGTATTTAGAGAGCATTTAAATAAATGATTTCTGGCAGTTTTTTAATGGGCCAAGACATAAAGATACAGCAGCCAGATATTCGCATGTCGACAGGCAGACAAGCAGAGTCATAAAATGACTCCAGAAAAAAAACACAACTGGATGGCTGGCTGAAAAAGACCAGAAATCAAATACTTGAAACGTTTAGCCGCCGTAGCCAACATGTTGGCAAATAAAATCCCTTTTATATCCTTTTTATGTTTTAACTTTCTCGTTTTATTTCCTCGGTCGTTTTTTTCGTTGCGTTTTGTTTCATTGCTGCCATCATCATTGTTAGGAGAAAACTCATTAGATATGCCATCAGTTTAGGCTGCAGTGACATGGACCCGTCGTAACATAGCCCCCGAAAAAGAAAATTCGAAGAGCCACAAGAATCACAACTATAGAAAAAACCAAAAATTGAAACAAAACCATCATATATAAAGAAATGTGTAGAAAGAATGTGAAAGGAGTTTTTAATATTTTTACATGATAGAAGAGAACAAAACGATGATTGAGGAAATCAACACCATATTTAAGAGGGGTGGTGAGGGAATGTTTTTTGAAAATGAAAGTGCTCATTTCATTACTACAAATTTATATGTGCATACAAATTTATATATGCATACTTATGAACATTAATATGAAGAAAGTGTGAAAGTGAGCTCCAAAGTCTAAGCTTTAATAACTGGTAACATATTTCTATATTACCAAAATGTTATACCCTCTGCGGCGGGAACAGTTTGAAGATTTTCCCTTATATGGATTGCATTTGAAGATCAGATTTTTATTAAATATAAGTTGATGTTTACTGTATAATAAATCGGAATCCACTCTGATTTTTTTCAGAAAAATCCTCAATGATTTGTATGAAAAATTAGGTTTTTTTATAGAAAAAAGTTCTTGGGCCATTTCAGAGGCATTTTTGCTGTGGAAATCAAAATCCTTGAAAAATTTTTTAAAATAGAAGTTTTTCTTATTGACAAAAATATGTTGCTCCTCTTCTTTTCCTATAAAAATCCCCAGCCATTAAATAATTTATTTCATTTCTTCGGGAAAGTATATTTTTTAACTAAAAAAGTGGCAGGTGGTGTTGTCGACAAATATATTCCTCAGCCTATGGTTTGCGGAGGTCTCCGGAATTACACACAGGTTTCATTAATCGCTTTATATATGCTATATGTTTTTTATCACAAAAGCTTTGGATTTAATGCTGATCAAATCAGTCATTCAATTCGCTGAAAATTAAATTTACAAGATTATAAAATATTGATCCTTGTAAGGAGGGAACCAGATGGGTCGACGGGTCCCACCTTCGTTGTAAGGGTGACATTTGGCAGTTGTGAGTTACAGGAATAAAGTGAATAAAGGGGAAATTCGGAACATTTTACATTGTTCTTGGATAAAGACGAAAATGCAAGCCAAGGGGCTAAAACTGTGAATGGTGTAAAAATCTAACATAACATTGTTTTAAACCATTTACAATTGTCCAGAAACGGCCAGAATTGGCCAACAGGAGAGGTGTCGTGTTCCACCACATATATCTACACTGACTCGCCAAAAACTTCGGGAGCTTGGTTGGGAAATTTTAATGCATCCGCCATATAGTCAGGACCCAAGCGATTATCATCTATTACTTGCATGACAAAATTTATTTAATGATAACATCCATATACACAGACTCGCCAGAAACTTCGGGAGCTTGGTTGGGAAGTTTTAATGCATCCGTCATACAATAGGTACATGGTCCCAAGCGGTTATCATCTATACCTTACATGTCAAAATTTATTTAATGATAAAAATAGGCATCTAAGGAGGATTGTGAAAATCGACTACTAGAGTTTTTTTGCAAATAGAGAGCAGGACGTCTATAAGTTTTGAAGGCAATTTACAGGTTTCGATATATAAATAATATTTTTTCTATGCTGACTTTTAGGCGTAGATTTATTAACAATATATTTCTTGGTAGACTTTTAGGTATGGAATTATAAAGAAAATCTTTCTAGGCCGACTTGTAGACGTAGTTTTATAAAGAATATTT